CTGCCAGCAAACATAAATCTATCAGGGCACTGATCACAGAGCTCTTGCTACTGTTATTTTAATGATATTTAACAATTAAAACACAAAGATTGTCATTTTCAGCCATTAGTTAAAACTGGCGATTTTGATTTTCTGACATGAATGAAACAGGCAAGACTGTGAAAGATTGGTTTCAGGGTGGAGTGCTGCATGGCAGCACCATTCCTGATGCATCGTGAAGAGCATCCTTTGTTTCTGTTACAAAAACCAGCCAAGCATCCAGCATCCCTTGTTTGTAAGTCCATCGGGACGGCACCTCCTTATTCTCTGGAGGTTTTGTCTAACATCTAGAGCCACTGGAGAGGTGAGAAAACATAAATCAGATCTTTGAGCTATTTGTACTTGAACTTCCAGTCTCAGCGAGTGAGACCAGACCCAGAAGGGTTTTGTAACCAGCCCAGTGAGGGTGGACGGGGTCACCCAATCCACAATGACCCTGCCACTAACTTGAAAGCTTCTGAGCATTGTCGCGGGGCAGATTTCGTCAGTGTAATGATCGGTCAAACAGCGATGATTTCTGAGTGCAAAACCCATGGCATCTGTAAACCTTCCCATCTAAGCTCTTCCAGCCTTAAAAAATTATTTCAAACTCTTTTCATTCCCATGATGCCTGTAGATTTGGCAGCTCTTGGCTCTGTGGGGAGGAAAAGACCCTTTCTTTCTCCTTTTTGTGCTAGCCTGGTAAAATTTTAACATTATTGGGGTTTTAAATTGTTTTACTATGAGGCACACAGACACAGAGCCCTTTCGCAAGGACACCCTTTAGAAATAAACTGAGTCATCATCCTTGTAATAGAAAAGCTAATTCAGTATGGATCTGTCCTCCAGTTAAGGGCATGCACATCCCTTAGAGAATGGTATTACCGACCAACAAGACTTCTGCTAGTAACTGCTGTTTGCTTTTCCTGACAGATCCCACTGTCCTGCCTGTGGAAATGGCTTTTGATGGCCACTAGGGTGACATGCTCGTGTGGGATCAGCCTGGTCCGGGGCCCTCCTCTAACGGTGAAGCTGTACTTCCAGGACATCATCCACTGCTAGAAGCACTCAGCTTGGAGACTGACCTGCCCAGAACCTAGTTGTCCTCTACTTTCTGCCTTCCTTTCTACACAAAATGTAGCGGGCAAGAGAACCCCAGATTTGAAGTACCCTATCCTTAGTAGGAAGAACCTACCAAAGCTGTGAAACTCCCATGTGGCTACAGAGAAAAAAATAAATAATTGCAGGTTGGTGTCTGTCCATAGCGAAGGTGAGGGAGCCAAGTGGCTGAAGGGTGGCTGGTACCTGATCTGGTGTAAAGCCTCCCAGTGAAGCATTGACCCACTGACACATGGAAGCAAATCTGAGCTAGCAAGGTGGCTTTATCCTGGATCAGCTCTTTGCACCATTGTTATAATGTTGAATAAAGACCTCCTCAGACACTTCCTCTTCTGCCTTGGATTTCTCAATACCTTCCCTCTCCTTTTATTTGCTGTCCTCTGTTCTTATTGGGAGGGAGGGATTTCATGTGGGACAGGACTGGAAAGGATCTTAAGGGTCCACAGACTCCAGTGTCATTCAAAAGGTATTGAGCCAATTCACAAAATGTCTCTTAGGTCACTTGGTGCCCTCTGTAACACCAGGCTGCTCCATGGAAACTCCAACCAAACGGCTCCACTGAGCTGCTACAGCCCATGCCCTTGGGCACTGTGGGTCATGCCAGGGAGCTGTGCCCTGCCACAGCTGCTGCAGGCAACAGCCTCAATGGTCTCCATGTGTGCTTTGATAAAAAAAGCAAGGTGCCCATCCACAGAGTTATTCAAGCCATAGAGCAGCTAAGCAAGCTGTGCAGCAGATCTCCTGTGCAACAGCTCTACTTGCCTGGAGTCATTCACTACTGGCCGCGCTGTCCCAGCCCACCTTCTCTGAGGATGGCAAACGCCATCGTCTCTGGGTGTTAGATGGGTTTGCTCACATGTGCTTGCTACCTGCTGAAATGAATTCAACTAAGAGGAACATGCTAGTGGCCTTGTTCTGCCATGTGTGCTGGTACCTGACCCATCCAGGCCATGCATGCCTTCCCTATGGGAGCCTCCGTTGCAGCTGCTGCCTCCAGCACAGAACCAAAACCATCATGGCACCAGAAGTCTTACAGGATTACTCAAAGAACGTTCAAATCTTGCCTCCAAGATTTGTCTCCAAGGCAAGATTTGAACCACCTGTGAGTAATCGTCTAAGACTTGAAGGCACCAGTAGCCAAAAGTTGTTTTCTCACAGAGTTCCTCAGCAAAGATGAGGTGCGTTGTTACTGTTGGACAGCCAGCCAGAAGTGCTGTCAGCAGAAGTCAGGCATCAGGACCTTTGCGCTAAGGTCGGCAGTGAGGGGAGCGGCGTGATCTGGAAACACAAAAGGCAAAGATGCCTTTTGTGCCGAGAAGATGACTTAAGAGACATGTCGTTGCACAACAGGGAACAGGGCTTGGGGAAGGAAGCGCTCAGCTCTCAAACATCTCACTGCGCTGTGGTAATGCAAAGCTTTAATTGAAGCCTGCGTGCCAGCGGTGTTGCAAGTACCACACAGCATTTGTTTTTCTAGGTGGTAAACTGAACGAACATGTCCCAAAGGCTGTGAAGGTCGTGTTGTACATACTGGTTTGGCTGGCTTGGCATTTCACTGCAGTCGTTAGATTTTTATCAGATGCTTTTACTTGTTAAATTTTCCCTGGTAGTGGGAACAATCCAGCAAATAACGTGGAGCACCAGGAGACATGCAGCCAAGGAGATCGTTTGTTTGGCTGGATCCCGTTCTGCACAGGGGAGGCTTTGTGCAAGCTCACTGAAGCACTGTGTTCATCTTGCTGTGGGCAGAGCTGGAGGCAGGCTTCGGGCTTTCTCTCCATGCAGTTGGGCTGGCTTTGTTAACCATAAGGCTTAAAACTCATTAGTTCTGAGGTTGTGGCCAGGCTGCTGGGAGGCTGCAGATCCTGGTGAGAGGTGTCTGTCTCCCAGCAGCAGTGGCAGGGAGGCAGCTGGTCTTTTG